TTGTGTGTTACTGCTGTAGAACACAGCGCTGCCGCCGACCAAGGGAGCAGTTCAATTGTTAGGTGCTATTGGCCCAATGAACAATAGTTCTGAATCTTGCGCTATCGCATTCGCTTTATTTCAGGCATGCTGGAGCTCACTGTGACAGTCATGTAGTCAATCCAGCTCATTGAGATGATTCTCTCTCCTGCTGACTCTCAGATTTTACCAGCATGTTCTCTTTTTCCAAAAACCGAAGATTCACATCCTTTCCTCTAAGGCGCACCTTGATTGCCCGTCCTCCAAGAAAGATTTGATGTTCTATGGAATGTTAAGTACTCTTCTCTAAAAGGGCAATTCAAAGTCATAGATTCGTCTGTCTTCCCTGTTTATCGTCCAGCTTAGAATTTGTGTTGTTATGTACTGACCCAGAGCTGACCTTCCAACATTTTTTTAAATAAAATTTTCTTTTGTACTGGTTTGCTTAACAAAGTTCGTAGACATTGTTTTTCACACCAAATTTTCCCTGTTTCCTATAACGCACTCCTCCCTTAACCATTAAAATGTGCAATCAAGATGCATTAATAATAATGGGTGACTGGAATGCAAAAGTTGGGAACAGAGAAGAAGAATTAGTAGCTGGAAAACATAGACTTGGTAACAAATTAAGCTGGAGATAGAGCCGTTGAATTTTGCACAATCAATGACTTACTCCTTGTTTTATAAGAAACATAAACGCAGATTATACCACATGGATTTCCCCTGATGGTATGCATAGGACTCAGATTGATTACATTTGCAGAAAGAACAACTGGAGAAACTCAATATGAGCTGTGAAAACTAGGCCAGGTGCTGACTGTGGAACAGACCATCAACTACTGATACGCAAGCTCAGGCAGAAGCTAAGGAAAATTAAATCAAATCCAAGGGACCAAACTATGACCTTGATTCTATCCCATCTGAATTCCAGAACCATCTCAGGAACAGGTTTGAGGCCTGGAACGCCAATGAGTGAAGAGCAGGTGACTTGTGGGAGGATATCAAGAGTATAATCCAGGAAGAGTGTAAAAGATCATTACAGACAGAAGAGGGGGAAAAGACCAAAATGGATGTCAGAAGAGACTCTGAATATTGCGCTAGAGCATTGAGAAGCCAAAGCAGAATGAAGAATTCAAGATACTAAAAAGCTGAACAGAAGATTTCAAAAGGCAGCATGGGAAGACAAAGTAAAATATTACAGTGAAATGTGCAAGGAGCTGGAGTCAGAAAATCAAAAGGGCCAAAGTCGCTCAGCATTTCTTAAGCTCAAGGAACTAGGCAAAATATTAAATGGTCCAGAAAGTATTAAAAGAAGATGGAAAGAGTATACAGAGTTGACAGAAATTGGCAAAAACAATAATTTCATAATATGAGCAAGAGCCTACAGTGATGAAGGAAGAAGTTCAAGCTGCTTTGAAGGAATTAGCAAAAAATAAGGCCCCAAAATAGATGGTATACCAATTGATGTATTTCAATGAACAGATGCTGCCCTGGATATGCTCACCAACTTGTGCCATGAAATATGGAGAACAACCACTTGGCCAACTGACTGGAAGAGATCTATATTTGATCCCATTCCAAAGAATGGTGACCCAACAGAGTGTAGAAATTATAGAACAGTACCACTGATACCACATGCAAGCAAGATTCTGCTGAAGATTATCCAAAAACTACTGAAACAGCAAATCAGCAGAGAACTTCCAGAAGTCCAGGCTGGATTTAGAAGGGGTCGTAGTACTAGGGATACTGTAGATAATGTTAGATGGATCTTAGCTGAAAGCAGGGAATACCAGAGGAATGTATATCTGTGTTTCATTGACTATGCAAAGGCGTTTGACTGTGTGGATCATAACAAACTGTGTCTGACTCTGAGAAGAATGGGAATCCCAGAACACTTGATCGTGCTAATGTGAAACCTATACTTGGGCCAGGAGGCAGTAATAAGAACAGAGCAAGGAAACATTTCATGGTTCAAAATTGAAAAGACTGTTCACCAGGGATGTGTCCTATCTCCATACCTTTTCAACCTATGCAGAACAGATTATCCAGGAGGCTGGGCTGTATGAGGAGAAGTATGGCATCAGGATTGGTGGGAGACTCATCAACAATCTGCATTATGCAGATGACACAATGCTGCTTGCTGAAACTGAAGAGGATCTGAAGCATAGGACTGCAGCCTTCAGTATGGATTAAGGCTCCATAACAAGAAGACAAAGATTCTCACCACTGGACCAATTGGCAGCATCAGGATAGATAGTGAAAAGATTGAGATTGTTCACAGCTTTAGTTTGCTTGGCTCCACAGTCAACACTCTTGACACCAGCAGCCAGGAAATCAATAAACGTATTGAGATGGGAAAGCCTGCTGTTAGGGACCTCTCCAAAGTACTGAAGAGCAATGGTGTCACTCTGAAGACTAAGGTGTGCCTGATAGAGGCCACTGTCATTGCAATCACTTGTTATGCATCAGAGAGCTGGCCAATGACTAGGGAGGATAGAAGGAGAACTTTGAGCTGTGGTGCTGGAGAAGAGTATTGAATGTACCATGGACTGCTAAAAAAATGAACAGGTTCATCCTGGAGAGGGTTAAACCAGTCTGCTCCTTGGAGTCAAGGATTCTGAGGCTTCGTCTGACATAATCTGGACATGTTGTAAGGAGGGACCGGTCCTTGGAGAGGGACATCATGCTAGAAAGGGTAGAGGGACAGCGCAGGAGGGGAAGACCCTCTATGAGGTGGATTGATTCAGTGACTGGGGTAATGGGGGTAGGTGTGTCAGAGACAGTGAGATTGACAGAGGACAGAGCAGGGTTTAGGGCTGTTGTACATAGGGTAGCTATGAGTTGCAAGCCACTCAGTGGCACATAACAACAACAACAACCCCGCCCATCCTCACCACTCTACTCTCCCCTTCTCCCTCTTGGATCCTCATACACATTCTACAATAATGATCTTATACATTTTTTTGTCCTTATGGAACTGAGTTACTTCACTTAGCAGAATGTTCTCCAGTCCTTCCCAAGTTAGGTAGTGACTTACAAAATTATTGCTCCTAAATTCCAGTTGGTTTTCAGAGGCAGTTAATCACACGGGAGGAGATTGCCCATCTTTGTCCCGAGAAGCAAATCTGGTGAATTCAAACCACATACTTTTGAATTGCCAGCGCAACTCATTACTAAGCCACCAGAGCTCCCTTTGAATGCATAAGAAACAATTATAAATGCCCAGTTTGCATCTGGTGCACCTTCATCTTTTAGATGACATCTAGGTATCAGGAATACATTCACAACACTCCCCTACATTTTCGGGAAATAGGTGTTCCTTAAGATGGGGTATATTTCAGAACAAAGTCAGGAATAAACTCTACTTTTGATCACCCTCTGGATCTAAGCTAGTTGAACAGTAACAAAAGAATAACAATGAAGAAGACTATCCTACCTCCTCTCTCAGTGGAGAAGGACGTCATACTTGGAAAGGTATAGATAGGGTCAGCAAAAGACTGGAAGATCCTCGGCAAAATGGCTTTACACAGTGACTGCAGTGATAGTCTCAAGTGGTGATGAGGATGGCACAAAATAGGACAGTGTTCTGATTTCTGTGAGTCGTACTCAACTCGACAGCACCGAACAAGAACATCTTCCTCTTTCATTGCTGGTGACAGATGGCTCTTAGTTGAAAGCATCAAGTACCAGAAAGACTTATGCTTTATTGGCTATTCAAAGGCATTTGTGTGAGTTATAACAAATGGTGGATGAAACAGAAGAATGGGAGTCCTAGAACACTTCATTATCCCTAAACCAGAAAGCAGTTGTCTATACACAGCAAGAGAACACTGCATGGTTTAAAATTAAGAATGGTATGAGTCAGGGTTGGATACTTTCTCCATATCTGATAATCTCTATAGCAAACAAATATTTTGAGAAGCTGGACTTTATGCAGAAGAATGTAGCATTAGAATCAGATGAAGGCTCATCACATCAGTAACCTGGCTTATTCAGATGGCACAATCTTGCTTGCTGAAGATTAAAGTACTTGGTGCACCAACCTAGACAAGAATCTCATAACAAAAGTTGACATAATCCTCTTGGGCCTCCACAAGAAAAAAAACACCTGATAACTCAATTACAAAATGGGCAAAGATATGGTAAGAGTTTTCACAGAGAATGATCTTTGCCAACAAACACATGAAGAAGTCCTCAAAATCAATGGCAATATGAGAGATGCAAATCAAAACCACAATGAGAAACCAACTCTCTCGAGTAGCAATGGCAAAGTTTAACAGGACAGCAAGTAATACATTTGGAGAGGATGTGGCGAGATAGGAACTCTTACACATTATTAGTGGGATTGTAAAATGGTACCACTACTCTGGAAGGAA